TCTGTGAAAATCAGCGGACTCAATTTTGGGCTTTACACGGCGAAATGCAGAGCCCTTCAAAGGTTTCTACTTTTGGTTATTCTATGTATGGACAGCTGCAGACACGGATTTAGCTAAAGTTCAGCTTACCTGCTCTAGTAGTTCATTCACAATACCGTCTTCGATCCATACGGTAACGATATCGTCGCCGTTCAATTCGACTTCGAGGAGAGTTGTGTTCACAGAATCTTCCAATAATGACACCACAGGGGTTTCTGCCTGAATAGAAACTTTCTACCAACCCATTCAGTGTTAGTGTTATTGATTTTTGAGGTTCTCTATGCCTTCGAAATCTGAACTCGGTGAAGGTCTACTCTATGGCTTTCGTGCGCAATTTTATTGTAACATGTCTTTTGCTCCTTTAACAGCACGTGATGCGCAAATCAAAAACCTATGTGCATTATAGCAAGCGGGTGGGGCAATTTGAAGAACAGGGGCGGGCATTCGCTTCCTATCGTCATAAGATCAAATTTTCCAAGGTTAGCCAAGCCTTCCATGACAAATCTCGCTTTCTTGCTCCCCCTCTCTATCTCCATATCATGGTGAACAACGGTCAAGGAGTTCCTCGACCATGGCTCTCTACTGTGTGAGAGTAATGTCGAGAGTGAATGAGAGTGCGGGAGAGCGCGACTGTACCGAATATCCTCGACGAGCCATTGCCGTTTCCTCAAGCGATTTTCACCCCGCTCCATATAACGCGAAAATACATTAAAAAGAAACCGCAGATAAAAGTATTCTAAGACATTGAATAAACAAGTTCGATAATAGCCTAGAACACTAAAATGCGCGGTAGACACGCGTGAGATGGAAATTTGGCGTGTGGAGCAGGCAGCATAGCAGCGAATCCTTATATGGTGGAACTAACTGTATGATTGGAAGAAGGAGGTATGGGGATGCTTCTCCCACCTGATTCCCCTGCATAGTGGATACCGCCTCACGGTATCGGATAATCATGAACGTTTCGCAGTCTTGCAGATGATGATGA